GTATTACACGGATGTTTGTTATGAAATTTATATTTAAAATTTAAAATAATAATTAAAAAATATTTTAATTTTCAAATACATTTTTTAATAACTATATTAATATTTATATTTAAAATAACACGCATCAGTTGTACAACTTACCTTCTTATATTATAATATTAATTTTAAATGCTATCATTCAACAATTTTGTAGATAAATTGATTTAAATAATTTTATTTTTTAATTTATATTAATATGTAATTTAATTTTTATTATAGAGATAAATATACTTTACTTTTATTCTGTATGTCAAATCGAAGCTCGTCAAGAAATGATTAATTTGATATATTATGTATAAAAAATTGATAATAAATAAAAAATTTATTAACTTTTAAAGCTACTTATAATTTAAGTTAGTAATATTCTCATGATTTTAAAAGAAAGATGATAAAAAAAATTATGCCTTATAAATCAAGTATAGAATATGAAATATTATTAATGCTCTTAAAATGGACTATAAATATCTAGTATAGCTATGGCTATTCCAATCCTAATTATTTTGGATTGAGGTAAATTAAAATTCAACCAAGTCAAATGACAAAGCATAAAAAATTACCACATAAGATCCCGAAGCAGAGCGTGCCACTTTGGCTCAGCACATTCGGGAATTATATATAGGGGGTTGAATATGTTGCAAATTCGTTGGTGTTTACCAACTGAATATGTCCGTTGGGAAATTGCCACAAAATACGTTGTTGTTAATACAATTATGAAGAATTCCATTTCAATTTCATTGGTGTCTACCAACACAATATTTCGTTGCTATCTAGCAACAAAAATTTTGGTTGTTAATACAATTACGAAGAAATCCATTGCAATTTTGTTGGTGCTTACAACGAAATATTTTTGTTTGTATTTAGTAATAGAAATTTTTACATTGTTAATACAATTATGATCAAATTTGTTGTAATTCAGATTGTATTTACCAATGGAATATTTATGTCATTATTTGGCAATGAAATATTCTTGTTGGAAAATGATTTATGATATGTTGTTGGTGTTGTGTTGTTGTGCTTCAATAGAATGTTATGTTGGCAAATAAATAATATGTATCCTTTGCAAATCCGTTGTTGTTTATCAACGACAATGTTTTGTTGTGAAATAGCAATGAGATATTTCACTGGTGTTGTGTTGTTGTGCTTTAATAGAATATTATTTTGGCAAATAAATAATATGTATCCTTTGCAAGTCCGTTGTTGTTTACCAACGACAATGTTTTGTTGTGAAATAGCAATGAGATATTTCACTGGTAATCCAACTATGACTAAATCTGTTGCAAATCCGTTGGTTTTTACCAAAGACATATGTTTGTTCCTATTTGGCAACAAAATATTTTCGTTGGTTTGTTAATGTACTGTTTGTTGGTGTTATATACTAAAAGTTTGAATTTGGATGAGATTACACTTTTGTATGAATGAGAATCATGTTCGATTAAACAAATTCCATGTTCTGTTGTTTTGCACTTAGATAAAATAGTTCATTAGTGGGTGAACAGAAAATCATTTTATCAGTTACTTGCGAAACAAAAATTGTTGGTTCACAACATAGATGGAAATGAACACCCCATCAGAACGGTTGTAGTGTCAACGGTACAGTTGGTCTTGACTGATTAGTTGCACTAGAACATTTATGTATTGAACGGATCCCAGAGATGAGAAGTTTGTTTTATACTGATCGTCGTAATTGAACTAGGCCTCGGTTAATTACTGTGTTTTCTTAACCCGTAAGATATTAAAAAAAACATATACATGCAGTACATATTACTTTCATTCATTTGGGTGAGATTCAGTTCGCTAGATCAATAGTCTTACGGTCTTGGGTAATATTGTTGTATGATGATGTGCTGTTAGGATATTTACGGTCACCATGTGCGTTAGTTTGGTGATGTCCCCGAAGTGAGTTCATGAAGGATTGTTATGCTAAACATTGTAGGTGGATTAAGTTCCAGCATAATAATAACGTGATGAATGAGCGCTAACTTTGGTAATATAATATATTAATTAATTCTTGATTGTCAGTAATCGAATTAATTAATGAACATTATATCTTAAACATGGGGAGGTAATTCGGGTAATTATTATTGGAGTCTCAAATGTAATTTGGGATAGAAAAAGGGAGTGCAATAATATTACGTTAGTGAACCGTAATATTATTTAAGTAATTGGAGGAGTGGGCTTGATCCACAGTTAGTCCATTACTTAAGAAGCTCAATTCTTGTTCTCCTAAGGATCATGTAATTACACGAGTCATCTCCCCCTCTCTCTCTCTCTCTCTCTAGAATTCCATTCGAGCTTTATTTTCTTCTTGTTGCTCCATCGGTACAAGTTGAAGAGGTATTTGAGTAATACAGTAGAAGATCCCATGGTAATCAGACTCCGTGATCAAATATATATTCAACCCCAAGCCGACCACCGTGACCCACCGGACCGCCGCCGACGAGCCACGATAGCCGGAAGACCGCCGCGAGGAGCCTGCTGAGCCCGACGACCAATTGCCGAGCCCAACGCCGCGACGCGACCACTGAGCCCAGCCACAGGTGACCTCCGCGATCAGCCCAGCACCACCGCGTGCCCAAGCCATCGATCCCGCCTCCGTACGTGATCCCGGCGATCCTTATGATGTGCTTCTCCCGGTCATCCCGAATCCGTTAGATTCAGAAAATTTTAAGCCGTAAGTTTTCTATGTCAAACCTTTAGATCCGCTGCACATAGGTTTACGTTTGCTATTGAATTCGTGACTTGTAAATAAAGAGATCCGCATAGATCCCCACACTGTTGTTATTTCTCATCGAAATATTCCATTGGTGGAGACCTAATACACATCCGTTGCAAATCCTTTGGTATTTACCAACTGAATATGTGTGTTGGGAAATAGAAACAAAAAATTATGTTGGTAATTTAACTATGAAAAAATACGTTGGTGTTTACTAATAGAAATTGTCCTTCACTATTTGCCAACAAATTTTTTCTATTGGCATATGAATTTTAGTTTTATTTATTGCGCATTTGTCACTATCTCTAAGTAAATTCTTAAACATTATCAATCAAATGAATTTCTTAGCATTTTACAACAAATTAGAAAGGCAAATTTGTCCATTGCAATATTTTGTTAGTATTATGTTAGTAATCCGTATAAAAAGTTATAGATAATAGTTAATTCGTTGGTGATCCGATCCCCAACGGAAATAATTTTGTTGGTAATTTCTATTTACATTTTTCCAATTTCTTGTATTGCGTTGTCATGGATTATCAAACTCAAAAGTATAACAAGTTAAATCATATTTCAGAGTAAGGGATAGGTTAAGGAGGGTGTTGGGTACTCACGCGGGCTTTAGTGATCACTTTTAAGAGCAGATCTAGTAGATTCCCATCTAGGAGGACAGTTTGGATAGTATGAGGTGGAGATTTATACATCTTTGTGTACTTTCTCTACGTCCTCGGCTTGGGGGGAAGTTCGGCAGGGTGACCGGCCTAACCTTCTCTTCGGTACCATTTAGACCGACCTCCTTACCTCGACCATCTCTGTCTTTCTTTGGCGTCTTCTATTACGCCGAATTCTGATTGAATATGTGGTCGGGCGAGGGGGGTTTCTTTCCCCTCGCGGTGTTACTGTTGTACCGAGACCAGTTATTTTCAGACTGAGACCTTCTCACATCTATTTTTAGAGAGTGAGGTTGCGAGGAGCGTGTGGGAGCATTTTGCCACTTACACACATATATCCCTTCCCACTACAGACAATTTCTTTGTGTTCCTGAGTTTTTTCTCACAGTTCACACACATTAAACACGTGGGCTTCCTTATCCCTTATCTGATCTTGTGGTTCTTCTGAATAGAGAGGAATAGTGCAAAGCATACGGATAATACTTTTATGAGCTCCCACATTGTTTTACACGTTGATCGACATCTCTCCTTCCTCACAGCTCTGGGCAGACTCGCGTCTAGAGACTAGACAGGTTGCATGCCGCCCTACCATTTCATGTTGCCTCCACTTCCCCCTATCCAGCACCCTAGGCTTAGAGTCGTTGTTTGGCTAAGACCTGACTCCCCTTGGGTTAAGCTGAACACTGATGGATCCTTTGACCGACTCACCAAATATGCTGAAGGCGTGGGCATGATTAGGGATCACACCGGAGCTCTCATTTTTTCCTTCCATACCCCTCTTCGGGATCCTCGAGCTATGACGCAGAGATTTAAGCGCTTCAGATCGGTCTTCAGGCTGTTGCTTCTATCTCTACACACGTTTGGATTGAGTTGAACGATGCTGTTGTCACCACCCTCTTGACCTCAGGCCACCAGGGCTCGTGGTAGATCCAACACCCGCTCATGCGCATCAAATCCACTTTTCAGTTAGTTCGCCACTGGATCTCGTACATTTTTCGAGAGGGAAACTGACCCGCTGACCTCCTAGCCAGCATCGGTGCCTGTACTCTTCAGAGGCGCACTTTTGGCCCGGATGACGCCCCGCTTTGCCTCCGCAACCTTCTGCGGACGGATCAGAACGGCTACCCCTCGTTCAGATTTCGTTAGCCTTTTAATTTTTTGTGTATTTTTTGTATTTCGGATCATTTATAGGTCAGACTGCTCGCCTGGGCACCTTCCAACCCTTTGTTTTTCCCCTTTTAGGTGGTTTTTCCTTTTCTCTTCTTTGTTTTCTGTATTTGGTTGGACATGTGTAGACCTTCGNAATAATGGAGTTTATGTCATGATTGAACGAATTATGAATACATAATTGACATTGATTATTGATATGATTTCTCAATTATTTTTTTTTTTATTTCGTTGATCATCTTAGATGGATCGTACCACAATTCTTATAATCAAATCTCTTTTACCATATAACGAATTACGTTGATATTGATATTGGGAACTTTTAGAAATCCCTTCATTTGCACTGGTAAGATTCGCTTATTAAAAGAACCATAGTTGGTTAAGAACTTACACTTGACATAAATCTGAGAACAATGAAAAATAGTATGATGGTATTCGGCCTCATCCTTTTGGTGTTCGTCGGTATCTTACAAACTTCAGAGAGCAGGTGTGTATTCGGTGAAGTGGTCTATGTTGCAGTCATTAACAATCTCCCTCTAAAATCTCCAGTGCTAACACTGCATTGTCAGTCAAAAGACGATGACCTCGGATACCACAATCTTACTACTAATAAATATTTTGACTGGTCATTTTGTGAGCATGCTTTGGGAAGAACATTGTTCTTTTGTCATTTGTGGTGGGGATCAAGACAAAAGTCATTCGATCCCAGCTAACAAACTATTGGTCTGCAAGAAGTGAAGGTTTATTTTTTTCCAAATCAAATAAGACTGATCATTATGCCAAAAAGTATGATTGGGACTAGATATTAATCTTGTACCTTGTTCTTGAACCAATGATGATGAATAAGAACAAACTGTTCAGTTTTTAATCCTGTACCTTCTTTTTTTTAGTGCATTATACTATTCCAGTAATCGACTAGCTTTGTTATAAGTTGATGTAATATTTGGATGTGGATAAAATATACATACACATCTGTATATATTAAAGTGAAGAAGCTTACCGATCAAAAGAAAAAACAAAAAGTGAAGAAGCTTAGACGAAAAAACAATTCCCTCCAAAACTATATTAATTACCTAGACTAGAAATAAATTTTGCCAACATTTTTGTAAGATTTATTATTAAAATAATAATTATAATGGTTTGTTATAAATATATATTATTCATTGGAAACAAGCACTCTAATTCACATGGTCAAATAAATTTTAGAGTTAAAATGTTAATTCCAATGTAGATAACACAAACAATAAAATATAGTTATTTGTTATAAAGAATTATTTTATAAATAATTATTTAGTGTGAAGTTGCATTCCAAGTTTTCTATTAATTATTTTCTTTCTTTCTTTCTGAATAACATAACTATTTGGATACAAAAAAAATTTATACTATTTATTTGAATGCCTCAAAGTGTGCATTGGATATATGAGCTGCTTCAAATAAAAACTAGTACTGGTTTGAGAACCGTGAGAATCATATTTGATGCTATTTTTAATTGTATATGATGTTATTTTTAATATAATAAATTATGCTATCATTTTCAAAAATGTTAATATAAATTGTGTTGTTATTTTTAATAAAATTCATCCTGATTAAAAATAGCATCAAACACAATCAATCATAGCACTACACACAATTAATAATAGTTGTTCTCACATTTCTCACAATATGACTTAGTTCTCATTTGAACCACATCTTATATATATATATAGGGTCGCGCTCCGGTGAAAATGGTGCTCAGTGAAAGAAATAAGAATACATCATACTCATCTGATTGAATCATCTAACGGTAAAAAAGAATCAGCAATTTTACATTAAAGGCAATGTAGACATTTCTCAACAATCCATCATTAGTGGGCTCCACCCCAACCAAACACACCTCTTCACGTGGCACCAATCTCTCACTCAAATTCAGACTCTCTTTTCCCCCTACCCCCTCTCTCTTTCTCTCTCTCTCTCTCTCTCACGCACACACAAGCACCTCGACAACTAAAAGTCGGTTCNAGTTCGGTTCCCTCAAGTCACTGGTGTTTGCCCGTCGCGGTATCTGCTGCCTCAACAATGGCACTTTCTATGGCAACATGAACCAGACTCGCCGTCGACCACCGGAGCCGTCAAACTCTGCCGGCAACGTCCTCGACCACCGGAGGGACTCTTAGAGACAATCAGCAACGGCGGCGTCAGCGGCGACACCAGCTTCGCCGTTGTCCTCGTCTACAGCGTACATCTCATCCGACAAAGGTCTCCATCTTCAGCATTAGAAGAATCGCAGGCGAGAATCGCCAGAGAGAATCGCCGATGGTGGCCGGGCGACTGCACATCAGGCGACAAACACTTCAGTCGTGGTGGTCGGACGTGAACGGGGCGGCGACATGTTCAGCTCAAGCCATGGCCAGAGCCTGTTCTACCCAGAGTTGAGACGGCCAGGACGGGTGCGGAAAAAGCTTCGGCCGGCGACTCTCCATTGCTGGTAACCGGGGAGACCTGGGAGATGATCGAAAAAGCTTCAATCTAAATTTTGTATTGAAGGGCTTCATTTTAGAAATTAGATATGTACAAGGGACTTATTTGCAATTGTATGAATTTTCATTATATTGTAATTTAGTTTTTGGGACAAATTTGTAATATATAGAAACTTCAATAAATGCACATTAAATTGTAAGAAAATGTACCGTATGTGTATGAATGCATTTTAAAAATATATGTGTTATCAAAAGCGCATTAGTTGGAGACTAAGTGCACATTAGTGTATTCGAGAGTGCACATTAGCATAAAAGTGTACTTCGCACGATTACCATGCGCGAAGAAAAAAAATGTTGTTATGTTAGTGTGCATTTTCACGTATATTAAAAATTCAGTTATTTTGATTTGGTTTCGATTTGTTAAAAAAATAAAATAAAATAACATAACGGACCGAGCTATACAAAAAATATTTTTATTTATATTTTATCTATACATATACATTACTTATTTTCCATAACAAATATAAAAATTATTAAATAAATATATTTTGATAATATAAATAATTTTTTAAATGCACAATAATATTAATTGTAATACACATTATTAAAGTTCTCTAAAAAATGAAATACACATAAAAATACCCGTTGGGCATACTACACAATAATGTTAGATCAAATGCACAATAATTTATATGGAAATGCACATCATCGTACACATCATTAAAGTTTTACAAAAAAATTGAAATGCACATAAAATACTCGTTCGGCAGAATGCACTATAAGGTTAAACAAAATGCGAATTAATCTCTGTGTGTAAGCACATTATCGTAATATTTTGCGCAACAATCACTCGGGAAAAATAAAAAGTACATTGTTACTTAGTTATATATTTTTTCACATTAATTATTGTGCATTTTATTTGTCGCTATGGTACCTTCTAGACCGCATGTAATTTTATTTTTTTTATCAATTCGGTTGATTTTTCTTTTAAAAATTCAGTTATTTCAGTTAAAAATGCTATTGTTGTTTTGTCATATTTTATGTAAAATAATATTGAAATACTAAATAAAATATTAAGATACTAACTACAACTTTATAAATATAAATAACAATTTAGTTCGACTATTTAGGTTAATTCGAACATCCAACCGAATAAATCAATTATTTATGTTGTAACGCCCCACTTTAATTTAACGAAAATCCATGGCTTTTCGAAAAAAATCAGATTAAATTTTTCAAAATTCATTTCAAACAGTTGTGGCGTTACTCACTTAATTTCAACGTCAATCATCATCTCATAACATCAATCTAGACATCAACTTCCAAATCGGGATTCATAAAATCATAAATCATCATTTTACCCAAAACGGGTTCCCAAAATCACAGTGTTCACGTGGCATCTCCCCAACATTATTTCAAACGTCATAAAATCCCAGAGTTCATAATCATAAAATCAGTTCATAAATAGCGGAAGCAATTACTAAATAATCGGGTCATAAAGACCGACCACCACTCGCTCCTTTCCGCCGTCATGCCTGCCCTGCTCAACCTGAAATGTTAATTTCATGTGGGAGCGAGCACATATGGAAAACGTAGTGCTCACCACTATGCAATAACGATAATCATAATATAAAACAGTATGATTGCTGCATGTACATGAAAAAATTAATTATCCCAATCTCCCATCATAATATCGTCATAAGATCGTCATAATATCGTCATAAAATCAAGACTCATGTGCACACATACGCATAGACTACTGCTGGGTAAAATATCGAATGCCCCTCAGGTTTTCATTTCATAAATACGGGGACAACCGTTCGACGGCCGCTATAGCTCACATCGAAGGCTGCATGATTCGCATGCACACATCGATCATACCACAAGTAAAGCACAAAATTTATTGCATAGAAATTTTAAATAAAACCCACCTGGATACCGAAGCAGCAAATTCACACAAGGTAGGAACTTAGGTCGAGGCTTCAGCTCGTCGAACCTACATCAGTCATGATAGTCCTATCAACATACTATCCGACCCATAGAATCACATACAACAACATTCACTTAGCCGAAACATTATCGACTAAGTGATTCGTGGAATTCCTAGTGAAGTTTGGAACCTTTGGCTTAACTGACTAGACTCAATAAACCAATTAAATATCATTTAGAACACATTAAAATATACTCAAAAAATACACAAGTACTACAGAGATTCACCCTTAAACTCATTTTAACTTGGAGAAATAATTTTTGCAAAATAACTGCCATGAAGTGAAATTCCTAGTTCCCCAGACAAACCTTCGAATTTTAAAGTGAAATTTTGATACAATGAAAACCTTGGCAAGATAAGACAATTCCCAGAATTTCAAATCAAAACACCTCAAATTCGATTTTATATGAATTTTTGCAAAGTACGGCAGCACATACGATTTCAAAAATTCATATCTCATAGCACAATCATCAAAATGGCATAAGGCTTTCACTAACATGTCAAGGACACACCATAGTACTCACAAACTCCAGAGTTTCCGTGAAATTCAACCATGTCCTTCAGTTTTGACATCAAACCGAAGAGACGAACATAATACGACATTTATTCATATCACTTAAACACATAATAAAAGGAGGGTTTCAAGATTTATCGCACTTCGAGAATCTAGAAGCACGGGGCACGGATCGATAATAATTCAGCAATCGTTTTGAAGCTCCCTTTCGGATGTCCTTGCCTCGTCCTCTTCAAAATACATTATTTGCCTCGGCCCAATTAACACTCATTTAACAAAAATGAGCTCAAAGATTCGGGCCCAATAAAATCACTAAGGCCCAATCCTTTTATTTACCCATTTTCTTTTCCTTTTTCTTTTTCTTTCCTTTCCCTTTTTTCTTCCGTTCTCCCTTTTCTTTCTTCTCGCCGTCATTTCTTTCTCCCTCCTCTCTTTTTCTTCTGAAAATTCGCGACATCAGCAATTCTCGCCCGAAACAAAAAATTCGCCACTCCTTCTCTGTTGAATCCGTAAAACAACAAAACTAGATATTTTGGGGAAAACCCTTTTCTTAGCTCATAAAATCAAAAATCACACTGTACGTACATAATGAGTGTATATATATACACTCTCATGCAAGACGACAAGAACAGAAATAAAACGGCGTCGTTCCTCATAAAGGAAGACGACGTCGTAACCTATGAGTTCAAATAACAGAAACGCAACAAACTAATAAAAACGCAGACACGCGTTTGAACCAAAGAAAACAACAAAATAAAATGAAAAAGATGAAAAAGGAAGCAGCTGCATGTCATGGCACGATTTCTTGGCTTGAACTTCAACACCCTCCCCTCAAGTTGGGCTTCGATGCGATGTAGTCATGCCCAACTTGCCGAGCAATGTAAGAAACCGTGCCCCAGCAATGACTTTAGTGAACAAATCTGCAAGCTGGTGAAGTGAAGGCACATATTTTGGCATAATGAACCCTTGCTTGAATTTGTCCCTAACAAGATGGCAATCAATCTCCAAATGCTTAGTTCTCTCATGAAAAACTGGATTAGACGTGATGTGCATGGCAGCATGATTGTCACACCAAAGTGGAATGGGAAAATTTATAACCACATCAAACTCTTGAGCAAGATAACCAATCCAAATGAGTTCAGTCACTGTGGAGCCCATGGCTCGGTACTCTGCCTCTGCAGATGACTTAGACACAGTGTTTTGCTTCTTACTTTTCCAAGAAATTAATGAATCTCCAAGGAAGATACAGTAACCAGTCACTGACCTCCTTGTATCCTTACAGGTAGCCTACCACGTACTCATGAGTATCCAAACCAACATAGTTTTCGGAAATATTCCAAAACCCAACAATTCAAAACATAAGTTTGAAAAACGGTTCAACATGTCTCAACCAAACAAGGTTCATAAAGACCATGCAATTATTCAACATAAGCGGAAGCATAAACAATAATAAGTGATCACCCACTCGTCTTTTCCTCGTCATCCGACACCTGCTTAACCTGCATCCGTGAAGACACAGGTGGAAGTGAGCAGAAATGAAAAACGTAGTGCTCATCACTATGCACATAATATGTAATGTTACGATGGTATGGTCGCAGCATGAACATAAAACAATAACATCATGTCTCATCTCCTATACAATATCACACCAATTCACATTACTCCTGTGCATATCTATCACTAGCCGCAGAACGGGGATTCATTACCCGAAGGCGGGAATACATGCCACGCTACGGACACGGCCTTCCTTATGGGCTTACGTACCTCACAAGGGCACGGTCATATCAGGACTTAAGGATACTTGCCTCGCAAAGGGCAACCGTATTACATCGACGGGGACAACCGTATCGACGGCCGTAACAGCTCACATCGATAGGCTACATATTCACATGCATACATTGATCATACCGACTCAACAAACATAAACACATATGGCAAAGATATTTTTAGAATAACAAACCTACCTGGACAAATGCAAGAGAGATAGCACAAACAATACGGGTAGGCAGCGAGCTCGGATCGTGAAGCACCTACAATAAGTCAAGATACTACGATCAACACTTATCTTGACCTTAGAAAGAAAACACAGATCATACTTAGCCGAACTTGATTCAACTAAGTCGTTCGTGGAGTTCTGTGGACATTGGAACACTTGGACCTAGTACTTAGACTCGACAAACACAATTAAAAACATCAAATATGGACTTAGCACGAAAAACGAGGTTGACTGGGTCAAAACAAGTTAAAAGGGTCAGTAAAAACACAAGGAATTGCTCGGGACAGCCGGCGCGGGCGCGGGCTGGCTCGCTGGCCTGGTCTGGGCACGGCTGGGCCCTGGCAGGGGGGTACAGACCCGGGACAGACAACTAGGATTACAAACACTACCGACCGAT